AGTGAACCCGCGGACTAGTGAACCCCTCTCTTTTTTGTCACAAGAATAGATTATAATCGGCTGGTTCTTCTTTATAACATTATGCACAAACCAAAGAATGATACTTGGATTAGTATCTGGAAATACTGCCTGACTGCTGTTTCTATGGCTTTCAGGGCGCCATCGTTTTTGTCGTAGCGTTCTTTTTTGTACAAATTACAGAACAATAAACAATAGGTGAACCATCTGGGTTGTGCAGAAGTCAGCGTAATAGATAACTATTATCCCAGAAGACAAACAGTATCAAATCATTTATTCTTGAATGAGTCCAATGCATTTACACACCGAAGCCTTCGAAATGATGGAATAATATTGTATGATATAATAGTCAATATTTCAAAACTTTACGACTTGATGAACTAGACACAATAGGCCATGAAATCGGAAACATAGATTCATCCGAATCCTGTCTGTCTCTATACTTAGACGACCAACAGGATTCATGGACCTGATAGGAATATTCGCCCCCCCCCCCAACCCCGCTATAAGTAGATTTATAAAATTGTGTCTAAGCTACAATATTATTTTAAAAAATCAACTATAAAATGTCATTATTAACCCTGTCCTGTAACACGTTCATAATCATCCAGGGTCAAACATACATATGGAGATAAATCCACAGTTCCGAACGTTCTGAATTTTGCTCTTATGAACGTGCTCTCCAAGTAATAAAAAATTTCACGCAAAAATCTGTTCTGTATTGTGTTCACAAACTTGAAAAATCAAAATGTGAAAGAAAATTTAACGCATCTGAAATTTGCGAAGATATGTCATCACGAATATTTTTTCAAGTTCTAAGAGTATGTCATGAATAATAATGATGACTTGGCACTTATATAAAGAAAATCCACAACTGGTCAGTTTACTATTCTTGGCTGATCGTGCCAGTACAGACCTCTAAAATAAAATAGGTTATCTTTTATCATTTACACTTTTCAATGGAAAGACAGAGAGGGAGGGGAAAAAACGAGGGTTTAACGTCCACTCGACACAAACTAGGTCATTTCGGAACTAACATATGGTTCAATTTTATTTTAATAATTCGCTTGTGCATAGTTGGTTTTTTTTTTTTTGGGGGGGGGGGGGCAGTGGGATGAAACTTGAGGAACTGGAAAAATCCCACAGGGTTGGACAGACGACCCTACTTCTTATCGCTACAAGCGGGAATCGAAATTACACTATTTGACCCCCACCCCCCTTTCAAGGGGGAGAAAACTGAATGTCCAAAATCTGTTTCAAATACGATTTTCCCAAAAAATTGAGAGAACAACACGGTGAAGGATGTATTTAATTGTATATACATGTATATCTTCGTAAAGTGATGTTAAACGAAAAAAAATGCCCCAATAATATTAATATTAGACATGTTACATCTAGAATTGAAATTACCCGAGGCACGAAAAATGAATTGGTATGTATATTATATCAGTGGCGTAAAATAGTAAAGTCAGTTAAATAGGCCGAAATTATGACTAAACTGTGTATGAGCACCAATTGTGTCATTTCCCCCGGGCGCCGAGAACCCTTGTTGTGCCGCTGATTTGGCGCTATAAAAATGGATATTAAATAAAGAAGTCAACAAGTGAAAGAACCCAGATTTCTGATTAAAAAAATCAGTATGCGAGTGACCGAGAAGGGAATGGCCATTTATCGTCTGTGTTAATCCCACGATCTTATCTGTTAGCAATACCTTGGAAAGTCTTCACATTCGGATCAGCGCCATGTTCAGGGTCGTCTTCTTCTTCGGGTTGTGCTTGGTTTCTCAAGGTAAGTGCATAAACATAACATCAAAATCAAGACCACATAATCTCGGCTGCAGGTCAACTTATTTGCAAAATAGATTCAGGTAGGCTTTGAATTCCGATTTTCTAACATGGTTTTGATCATGATCATAATTTCAGACGAAAGGGTAGGAATGGAAAAAGAAACCCCAAAAACGTCACCAACATAATAATTCTAGATCAGTCGAGAAATGTGGTCCTAAACTCAGTTACGACACCTGGTCATAAAAGTTACCCCCATTCCTTATCCCTACCACGGCACGAAACAATTGTCTGCTGTGATTTGTATTTTGACGTATTTGAGAATTCTGGGGTGGAGAATTGGGCTCTTATTATATACTATTCAAAAAAAGTAGGGGATATTTGATTTTTAAGTGTTATTAAAGTCACCTAATGAAACTGACGAAGAAACAAATGACAAAATGAAATGAAGTTCACATTCATCGATTTATTCCAAATGATCGTTAGACTAAGTAAGGCACAGACTGACCATTATAAGGGTAAAATGATACCCGGGGTCAAACAGCAAAGTTACCACAGCATCACAACCAAGTCAGTAACGGGTAAATCCTCCTCTGTTTGCCAAACAAGCATTGATCCGACGTGGCATACTCCTAATGAGACGTCTACGGTCATTTTGGTCCAGATTGTCCCATTCCTGTTGCAACGCAGCAGCAAGTTCTTGGACATTGGCAGGACGTTGTTGACGTTGAGGTAACCTCTGTCCAAGCATGTCCCAGACATGCTCGATGGGGGAGAGGTCGGGACTCAGTGCTGGCCAAGGTAATGTGGTGATGTTCTGTTGTTGGAGGTAACCTGTAACGATCCTGGCCCTGTGACATCTTGCGTTGTCATCCTGGAAGATGAAACGGCGGCCATGACGTCGTGCAAACGGCACAACATGGACTGCCAAGATGTTGTCCCGGTAGTACTGGCCTGTAACACGCCCTGCAACAACATGTAAAGCCGTTCTTCCAGCAACAGTGATGCCTCCCCACACCATAACAGAACCACCCCCAAATCGATCATGTCTGATGACGTTAACGTCTTGGAGGCGCTCGTTTCGACGACGCCACACCCTCCTACGTCTGTCCAAAAAATCAACAGTGAACCTTGACTCATCTGAAAACATCACATTGCTCCAGCGTCGATTATCCCAGTGTTGACGATCCCTACACCAACGACGTCTTGCCTGAATGTGATGATCTCTCAAACAAGGGATCACGCGAGGACGTCGGGCGCGAAGGTGACCCCTATGCAGTCGATTCCGAATCGTCTGGCCACTCACTCTCACACCAGTGTCTGTTTGAAGACGAGCGCTGATCTGATTTGCTGTGATGACACGATTTCTCAAGGCCAAGGTACGGATAAATCGATCCTGGGCTTGAGTTGTCGCCCTTGGTCGACCTGAACGTGGTCTGTCCTGTACAGATTGTGTATCACGGTATCCGGACCATAGCCTGCTTATGACAGACTGAGAAACATTCATCGTCCGCGCCACAACCGCCTGTGTTGTGCCGATCTGTAGCATGCCAAGGGCACGTAACCTTTCATTTTGGGTAAGCCGACGCATATCAAAATTTGTTTTCTGGTCACTAAAACAATTAAACTGATGTTTCCACCCTGGAATTCAATGCCACAATGACTGTAACATTCAAAGTCAGAGTCGTGCAAATCTTGGGTTGGACCCCCCATGATGATCCCAAGCATCACCTGCATTCCATGCGGTAGCTATTGGTGCGTTTGGGCGTCACATGTAACTGGAAATGTTTCTTCTGTTAGGTTCTATAGTGACTTTTTTCGTAGTCATTTGCATATTTTAGTATTATGCCCCCAAAATCAAATATCCCCTACTTTTTTTGAATAGTATATTATCAAATAGTATCATATGGTACGAATTATCATATTCTGCTTCTTTTTGTTGCAGCTTTAATATTCGGTTCCCAAGAAACCTGTTACCAGCATTATGGTTGTTTCTCCAATGCTAAACCGTTTAATAACGCGAAGAGTAATCTACCCGATTCCCCACAACACCAGCAAATATCCTTCCATCTGTATACCAGACATAATACCCACAATCCTCAGACAATAAAAGAAAATGACCATGCCAGCATTCAGAGAAGTCATTTTAAACATAATGTGAAGACAGTTTTGATTATACATGGCTTTACTAGCAATGGCCACGTTGAATGGATTGTGAAGATGGCTTCTGAAATTCTCAAATTCGTAAGTCTGATTGAAATAAAACGCTTAACTTTTGTCATTTGTTTTAATAACTTTAGTCCATTGTAATCGTGATATAAGTTCGTTGTCGATTTTTAATGCCGAAATTTCAATTCGCTAACTAATATTCGGCGAGAGGGCAAGGTGTGACTAGCTTGTTTTCTTAGATTTTAATAGTCGGCACTATCTATGACTTTAGTTAACATAACAATAACTTGTCGTATAAAGGTCCACTTCCGATTAATGAGATATCAGTTTAGAAATGAAATGAAATAGGGTTTAACGTCCCGTTGTTCTGACCTAACTTGGCTAGATCACTTGTATACGCCCTACATATTGCTGTGATGGAAATTTTGCGGCGCTACTGCATACTCTTATATTGAATTCCAACTGCCAAGAGGCCGCTTACGTGCACGCCAATGTGTACATCCGATTGGCTATACGTTGGCCCTTAACTGACCTTTGTCATGCACCACAGACAAGGGGGAACAACGCCAAAAATACCGATGAAATTTTCTCGGCCAACGCAGGGATCAAGGTTAGTGAGCCAGCTAGAATAAATGCCTTCTATAAGATCCACCACCAGTTGAGGGCACTATATTTTTTATAGATAATGGGGCGAAATTCCCACTATACCAGTAACCATGCAATGGACAGATTGCTAAACTTCTCATTGTCTGCGATATCACTATTGTTAAAGCAGAGAGCTGCGAATACTGTTTGTGATATCTACGTCTCTTTTGATTTGTGAGTCTATAACTCGTTGGGCAGAATAACGGCTAGTCAATGCTTCACTTGTCGGTCTTGCAGGCACTACTCTTGACAGGTGGGAACCTGGATTGTATAATCCAGAGGTTCTTTGTAGACGAGATGCCGATGCGAACCCAATGATCTTAACGCTTGACGACAGTGGCCCCATAATCTTTTGATAACATACTGTTTTAATTTTAAAGGAAGATGCTAACGTAATCGCTGTTAATTGGCAGAAAGGCGCTGCTCATATCAACTACTTCAAAGCCGTGGCTAATACACGAGTAGTTGGTGCTGTGGCTGCTCAACTTATCAAAGATTTGAGGTCAGTTGGTGGAATCAGTTACTCCAATGTCCACGTCATTGGTCACAGTCTGGGTGCTCATACTGGTGGATATATTGGAGAAATTATACCAGGGTTGGGACGAATAACTGGTTTAGATCCTGCTGGTTTGTCTTTTGAAAGATATGATATCAAAGTCAGACTTGACCCGTCTGATGCTACTTATGTGGATGTCATACATACTGACGGCGAAACTCTTTTTCAATTGGGTATATTTTCAGCTATTCTATGATCAATTTACAATTGTAACCTGGCTTAACGTAAAAATAAGCATGCTCTGAAATGTTTTCAACTGACATATGGGTTGACAATTTTAGCCTCTTCCATATCGCTTGCCCGTTAGCCGTCGGCCGTTAACTTTTCAGATTAGACTTCTTACCCTGAACCGCTTGATGGACTGCCACCAAATCTGGTAGGTATGGCGGCGCTTATTAAGATCTGACAAAAGAAAGTTGTTCGCCTTAACATGGACTTGACGGGGTCACCTAAACTGGGCAATTTAAGATTTGTTCACAAAAGTTTCGGTGGTAGGGTGCCCCACCATAAATAAATATCTCCAAATCTCGCGACAATTACACCACAATATCTATATATACACCAAGCCTTAAATCAGCTTCAAACATTTATAGTCACTAAATAAACGGTTATGCTGTACTTAATATGCTGTACTTAATATGACAATTTAATCATCCGTAAATAATACACTGAAAGCTGGTTCCGAGTGTGGGCCATAACATCCGAGCACAGTAGTCTCCCTTAACCCGTCTACCGACCATTCTACGTTTGATTAACAGGCCGGGATAATCAAGACTACTTTTTTTTACGAAACATAACAGAAAGCTGGAACAATAAATTGAATTTAGAAACACGCACGTTGGGCAACTCAACAATTGTTTTAAGAACCTTGTAAAAGTAAAGGGGGTTGGATGGCTGAATGGTTCGCACGTGCGCGCGCTGTATCGTAAGGCATGTCATTGAGTCAACTGGCGTGTTTTCGAATCCCCGGTTGTAAGTGACAAGGAGTAGGGTCGCCTGTCCAGCTTCGTGGGTTTTCTCCGGGTCCTCCAGTTTCCTCCCACTGCTTAAGACCCCTACGCGCAAGCGAATTATTGAAATAAAATTAAAACCATATGTTAGTCCCGAAATGACCTAGTTTGTGTCGAGTGGGCGTTAAACCCCATTTGTCTCTCTCTCTCTCTTGTAAAAGTAAAAGGGGGGTTGGATGGCCGAATGGTTAGCACGTGCGTGCTGTATCATAAAGCCTTTCATTGAGTCAACTGGCGTGGTTTCGAATCCCCGGTTGTACGTGACAAGGAGTAGGGTCGCCTGTCCAACCTCGTGGGTTTTCTCCGGGTCCTCCGGTTTCCTCCCACTGCTAAAGACCCCTACGCGCAAGTCCCGAAATGACCTAGTTTGTGTCGAGTGGACGTTAAACCCCATTTATCTCTCTGTAAAATTAAAATGAAACTACTCCTAGTATCATGTTCTTGTCCAACACAAGTATTTCAGAGATATTATTTGCACTCAACCAAAAGACGCCGCTCCTAATGGTACAGTTAATGATAAAGCAATTTAAAAAATAAAACGAACGTAATTTCTAAAGCTGCTGTAATAACTAAGCTAAATATTACTGCTATTCAGAATCGTCAATAATAGATTTTTTTACGGCTGTAATAGTTGATAGATGTGTAGAGAATTCCACGTGCGATGGCTATTTATAGGATCATAGACTCTTCCGCTGAGTGTTCTCATAGTGCGTAGTGTATGCGAGAAATCACTTCTAGACAAGCCACTGTCGAGATCAACTTTCTGTACGGTGCACGGGTCACCCCATCCTTGGTAGTGTTTTAAGATTTGATGAAACGAAGTTGGTCGAACCCATTGTGAAAGGAACAAGGGCTCCTTCAAGAGATAATTTATACATTTTCGATTTGTTTTGGTATTGCCATGATATAATTGGGACTGGCTGGGTGGGCAGGTTACCTTTTAAGTAAGGGGTGAATTTCTGAACTACTTAAAAGGAATTGAACCAACTTTAGTAGATATGTTGCCTAAGTTATGCTTATTCATATTTGTTCACCTAGACATCTTGGAGGACAAATGACACTTTAAAAGAACTAATTGTGGACATCTTTCACTTCTGCTAAACTGCTTGAAGACCCCATAGAACTAAGAATTATAGGTCAAAATTATACATTTTTGGACAATTCCTCTTATTTGCCTGAACTAGAGGTGGGGCAGGTGACGTCTGTGGGCATATTGAAGGAGAAAATTAGATATTTTCCACTTAACCAGACTTTAAACATGGATAGTACCATTGGGATATATCAGTGGCACCCTGAAAGGACAACTGCAGATATGTTTTCTTAATCTCAAGATGTAAACATAAGATAAAGTAATTAATATATTGAGCCGATTCGGGCTCTTGTAATTATCTCATTAAAATTACAATTTGTCCATCTTTTAAGCATTTGGTTTAGCTAAAGCAATTGGTGATGCTGATTTTTATCCAAACGGTGGAAGAAATCAACCAGGATGTCCTCACGTTGGTAACCATGCAATCGATGTCATCACCGGACAGCTAGATTGTAAGGACATGGGTTTTTTCTAACTTTTTTGCTTAACCGAAGCTTTATGAGAAATCGTTAAACTTATTAATAGAGACAAACTTTTATTATCAATTTGTTTTAAGTTAAAATTGTATATAATATATACAATATACATACATATATGTAACATGTATTGTCATTTTAACTTTTTATATTTATAAAGCACATATTTATTGTCTGTGGATGCTTGTTTTTATTTATGTATATAAGTATATTGTTTAGTTTGTCTCGTTAAGATCATAACGTGTTTGGCGCAATATAGCCCGGTTGGAGTTGACGTGCCATAAAATCTTCATTTAATTCATTCGTTTCTAATGCATTATTTTTACATTAATAGAAAAGTTCAGAAATCTTGTTCTTGAAGATTCTGGCAAGGCATGCGTGTCTTTATAGGTATGTGGCCGTTACGATAACGACCTTTTGCAAACTAATGTTGCCCCACTACAGAAGTAATAATCGTATTTTATTCTCCAAATAACCACATTTTCATTTTTACAGCTATAACTAGCAAGGTTAGATGTAGTCATCACGGGGCCATTGTGTGTAACCATAGTAACCGTAGATAAGATTGCCTCACTACAGAAGTAATAATCGTATTTTAGTCTCCAAATAACCACATTTTCATTTTTTCAGCTATAACTAGCAAGGTTGGATGGAGTCATCACGGGGCCATTGAATGTAACCATAGTAATAATAATATCCATATTTATTCTCAAATTAACCATCTTTTCAGCTTTAAATAACAAGGTTGCGTGTAGTCACCACAGGGCCATTGATTATTTTACGGAGTCTATCAATGGTGGGTGTATCTTTACATCCCATCCCTGTAGCTCTGAGAGTCAATTTAACAGTGGCCATTGTAAAAGTTGTGGTCATGGTTGTGCTGTAATGGGATACCACACACAATCAAGTCATCACCATGGTAGTTTTTATCTGACTACGAAGAGCCAGCATTCATTCTGTGTAAGTTATGCGGTTTTAATTTTAAAATCTAGAAATTGTTTTTAATTATTTTCAATGAGAAATCTATTAAAATATCAACGAAAGAACTAGTAAACATTTGATTCTATTGGGAATACTCGCTCAAATATAAATGAGACCCCCCCCCTCCCCCCTCCTGAATGACAAACTGAAAATTAGGGCTCTTAATATAACTTAGTTCTTGAGATATCTTTAATTCAAGACAATTAATCGCGACTCGTTTTAAATTAGTCTGATTATCAATAATCAATAACACCCCCTCCCCCCCCCCCCCCCCCCCGTCTAAATGACAAACTGAAAATTCCCGCTCTTAATAGTTCTTAGTTGTTGAGATTTCAGACTGATTATGAACTTTTTATATATTTTCAGACCCAATCTAGGAGGTCCTTACGTAGAGGAATAGAAAATGTCTTTAAACAATAAATATAGTACAAGTGAATCGTTTCTCGTTAACTGTTTTGATTGCAACTACCACGGTGTGTCGCTGTGATGGTCGACAAATCGTGTTGGCATGCAGTCGACACACTTCTATATATGGAGTCACGGTTGCTTGGTGAATAATGCGCTGGTTCACTAACAAAGGTGTCCTTGGTTCGTTCCTGTTGTTGGCTTAGAAAACTCGTGATCTCCCAGCATGTTTTCCTCTTGTCAGTGATGCAGCAAAGAGGCCCTGGTAAGCAAGTGTCTAGTTGTTCTGATGGGGCGAAAAATCGATGGCCCGTGTACACATTGGCTGCTCGTAAAATAACACTTGATAGTAAGAATTCAATGAAAAGCAGCAGAAAAACGCCGCTGTCCGGCCAAAATTTCGCTCATATCATACTGAATGGCGTATGCTTATCTTCTTTAGCCCGATTAGTGGTGCAGTCTAGTTAAACCCCCATTTCATTGCCCTTCGATACTTACATTCCCATATTGTTCAAGGGTGTCCAGAATGTTGTCTCTACATGAAAATCTCAGATATGAGATGTGAAGTGATCCGACTGAATAAAGTGTTGCTACCGCTGAGCTTAGGAGTGAACGACTTGGCCTTCCTTCTTTAAAATCAATATTAAAACTTATACAAAAAATATAATCATCACAGTTTACACATAACTCACAATATGAAATACAAGATTTAGAAGAAGGAGTTCATAAAATTGCGCTTTTTCTTATGAGTTAAGAAAAATCTTTGAAGTCGAAGTTCGCTGCTTAATAGTAAGATGAAACGAGGTATTCAAGGTACTGAGTAAAGTAGAGTAATCATTCTTGTACCTCCGTACCTTTCGGTATCTTGATAAATTAAATTTCAGGCTAATTAAACGTAAAAACAATGAAGTATTTTGTTTTTAAATTATTTTTTCCTAAACAAAATAAAAAGTAAAGATTTAACAGATCTTCAAATTTTATGTTTTTCTTAGTAAACCGGAATTTAGATAATATTGACATTAAACACGTTATGTATTGCTACGACTAAATGTGTTGATTTTCAATGTATTTTTATCATTTACTGTTATTTCAATGTATTATTATAACTAAATGTATTGATATATTATTTCAATGTATTTCTATCACTAAATGTATTGAAATGATATTATTTCAATTATCGCCAAATTCTATAGATACAAGCCAACAGTGAGGCTGATGTCCCCCGCCGAAAAGGAAAATAATTAGAGGACACATATAAATTTATCACAAATTATCTTTTACAAAGTATTGAACAATCAAACAGTATATCTTTACTTATAGTCTAACAATCAAAGTAGGAGAGTTATTGTTTTCCAAAGTCTCGACCAATCAAATTGCGTATCGCTCTGCTTACCCTGAGCAGAAAATGCTCATTATCAAACTTAGTCAAGGTATTACTGTAATGAAACTATACACCAAGTTTCATCAATCTCACTTAATTAGAACTAAAGTTATCGTGTCCCAAAGCATCAACCAATCAAATTGCTTATCTCTGCTTACCCTAAGCGGAAAATGCTCATCTTCGAACTCCATCAAGGCATTGACCTAATCAACACATACACCAAGTTTGAACATTCTAGCTCAATTAGGAAGAGAGTTATCGTGCCCCAAAGTATCAACCAATCAAATTGCTGCTTACCCTGAGCAGAAAATGCTCATTATCAAACTTAGTCAAGGTATTACTGTAATGAAACTATACACCAAGTTTCATCAATCTCACTTAATTAGAACTAAAGTTATCGTGTCCCAAAGCATCAACCAATCAAATTGCTTATCTCTGCTTACCCTAAGCGGAAAATGCTCATCTTCGAACTCCATCAAGGCATTGACCTAATCAACACATACACCAAGTTTGAACATTCTAGCTCAATTAGGAAGAGAGTTATCGTGCCCCAAAGTATCAACCAATCAAATTGCTTATCTCTGCTTACCCTAAGCGGAAAATGCTCATCTTCGAACTCCATCAAGGCATTGACCTAATAAACACATACACCAAGTTTGAACATTCTAGCTCAATTAAAAGTTATCGTGTCCCAAAGCATCAACCAATCAAATTGCTTATCTCTGCTTACCCTAAGCGGAAAATGCTCATCTTCAAACTCCATCAAGGCATTGACCTAATCAACACATACACCAAGTTTGAACATTCTAGCCCAATTAGGAAGAGAGTTATCGTGTCCCAAAGCATCAACCAATCAAATTGCTTATCTCTGCTTACCCTAAGCGGAAAATGCTCATCTTCGAACTCCATCAAGGCATTGACCTAATCAACACATACACCAAGTTTGAACATTCTAGCTCAATTAGGAAGAGAGTTATTGTGTCCCAAAAAGTGTGACGGACAGACAGACGGACGGACAGACGGACAGACAGACAGACGGACAGACGGACAGACAGACGGACGAACCCATTTTAATAGTCCCCTGCTTTCTTCGAAAGGCGGGGGACAAAAATATTATTTCAATGTATCGCCATCACTAATTGTATTGATATGCTATTATTTCAATGTTTTACTACTATAACTTGATATATTGATACTGTATCGGTTTAATGTATTTCTGTCACTAAATGTATTGATAATGTATTATTTCAATGCACTTCTGTCACTAATTGTATCGATATGCTATTATTTCAAAGCATATCACCAAATGTATTGATATGCTATTATTTCAACGTATTCCTACCACTGAATGTATTCCTATCACCAAATGTCTTGATAGGCTATTATTTTAATGTATTCCCATCACCAAATGTATTGATATGCTTTTATTTCAATGTATTACTGTCAATAGATGTACGGATATGGTATCATTTCAATGTATTACTATCACTAGATATATTGCAGGGGGGTTGGATGGTTGAATGGTTAGCACGTGCGCGCTGTATAATAAAGCCTGTCATTGAGTCAACTGGCGGGGTTTCGAATCCCCGGTTGTACGTGACAAGGAGTAGGGTCGCCTGTCCAACCTCGTGGGTCTTCTCTGGGTCCTCCGGTTTCCTCCCACTGCTTAAGACCCCTACGCGCAAGCAAATTATTGAAATAAAATTAAACCATATGTTAGTCCCGAAATGACCTAGTTTGTGTCGAGTGGACGTTAAACCCCATTTCTCTCTTTCTCTCTCTCTCTCTCTCTCCCGGATATATTGCATGCTACAATTCAATGTATAATTACTATCACTAAATGTATTAATATACAGTGGCGTAGCAGGGTGTGGGATGTGGTCGCCAAAGGTATCTTTGCCCCACTGACGCTGAGAACCCGTGTTCCGCCACTGATATATTCCTATCACTAAATGTATTGCAATCTCATTAAAATACAGATCTATATTTCGTTTCGTGTTTTATACTTTCGATTGCCTACACTACATGAAGATCTGTCAAGTTATAGTGGGAGTTCACGTAGAGGGGTCAAACGAGCGGGTTTTGACCCTATGACGTCAGGCATTAATCAATCAGTGTTGATGTTTCTAGTGGTTTACCCACAGTTCCGTGCACCAAAAGGTTAAAAGCTCGCCGTAACAGACCGTTTCATTGACTAATCCCTCACATCAGCCAGAACACGTCAAAGATAACAACTCTTCCAGATCCTAATGTAGGAAAGACCAGTAAAACGAAATTTTGAACTATAAAAACAAAACGATAGGATCTGTGTTTTAATCAGATTGAATGTACTGATACGTAATTGTACGTATAATATACAAGTGGCGTAGCGGGATGGGCGCGCCAAAGGTGTCTTTACCCCACTGAAGCTAAGAACCCGTGTTCCGCTACTGATATATAGACCTTCCTATATATGACGTTTTCTAAAAGTGCTAATAAAGAAATCATACCAGGAAAGGAAAAAAATATTGTTTCGATCCACAACCCAGATTTATGATAAAATAATTTTTATGCAAGTGATTTAGAGATAATGGCCATTTATCGTCTGTGTGAATCCCACGATGTTATCTGTTAGCAATACCTTGGAAAGTCTTCACATTCAGATCAGCGCCATGTTCAGGGTCGTCTTCTTCTTCGGGCTGTGCTTGGTTTCACAAGGTAAGCAAATGAGCATGACATCAAATACAAGACCACATAATCTCGGATGTGGGTCTACCTATTCGGGCTGTGCTTGATTTCATAGCGAAAGTCCACGAAAGTGTCATATTCTTTGTATACTAGGGACTGAATTCTGATTTTCTACCATCCGGCGAACAAATCTCAACACATATTGTATTGCCTATTTCTACATCTGTACAGAATTGTGGTCTAAACGTAGTTATGATATACGTAAAGGATCCCTTGACAGTTGGAATTCGATATAAGAGTAGGCCGTAGCGCCGCTGCCCGGGCAAAATTTCCCTCATAGCACACTGTATGGCGTATGCCCGTCTTCATTATTCAGTTTAGGAGCAGAACAGTAAGGCGTTAAACCCCGTTCCATTTCATTTCATTTTTGTAGTTATGATATACGGGTATAAGAGTTACGCCCCTTGCCAGGTGAAAGGCTAGATCTATTTCTTAAGGCCAAATCAAGAGATGCAAACACGGTTAGAGCATGTCATTGGTGGCGAGATTGTAGGTTTGGGTAAGCTTTAGGGCTAGGATCATCGCTAGCTCCGTTTACAACTCGTGACTAAACTTGACGTTAGCCTTATGAAATAAATCAAACCCAGGTGAAGCGATAAGAATGAACAAAATCCATACATGTTTTGCTTAATTCTACGTGAGCGGAGAATTGTAATCTAATCTGAATAACGATATAAGGGCATAAGAGTTACTCCCCTTCTCCAAACAACGCACAATCTATTTTTCAGCTGTGCTTTGTTTCAAAATGTGAGCGTTTTCAAGATACACAATTGGGATTTTTAAACATGTAATTGATCATTTTGAGGTGTTTAACTGATTTCTATGTGTGATTATATCCCTCTTTTTTGCAGCTTTAATATTCGGTTCAAAAGAAACATGTTACCAGCCTTATGGTTGTTTCTCCAATGCTAAACCGTTTAATAACGCGAAGAGTAATCTACCCGATTCCCCACAACACCAGCAAATATCCTTCCATCTGTATACCCGACAGAGTGGCCACAGTTATCAGACAATCAGAGAACATGACCATTCCAGCATTCAGAAAAGTCATTTTAAACATCACGCAAAGACAGTTTTCATAATACATGGCTTTACTAGCAATGGCCTTGTTGATTGGCTTGTGACCATGGCTTCTGAAATTCTCAAACACGTAAGTATGTTTAATATTTGAAATCATACATATATTAGGGAGGGGACGAAAAACCGAGGTCCCGTGTACACATTGGCGTGGACGTAAAAGAACCCTTTACAGTTTGAATTTGAAATAAGAGTAGGCCGAAGTGCCGCTGTCCGGGCAAAATTTCCCTCATAGCACACTGTATGGCGTATACGTCTTGATTAGAAAAGTCGGAACGGAACAGTAGGTAGTCAAAATCCATTTCATTTCATTTCATTTGTTTTAATAAATTTCGGGAGGTCACGGTGGGTAAGACGCTGGCTCGAAGCCTGGGGTTGTGTGTTAGATCCCTGCATTGGCCGAGAAAGTTCCTTCAGATTTTCCGGCGTGGTTCCCCCTAGTCAGTGATGCCAGACGGAGGATCTGACAAGGGCAGCTGTCTAGTCGTTCGGATGGGACGAAAAACCGAGGTCCCGTGTACACATTGAAGTGCACGTAAAAGATCCCTTGACAATTGGAATTTGATATAAGAGTAGGCCGTAGTACCGTTGTCTGGGCAAAATTTCCCTCATAGCACACTATATGGCGTATGCCCGTCTTCATTAGCCCAGTTCTGAGCAGAATAGGACGTTAAACCCTATTTCATTTAATAAATTTCGTTTCTATATTTGACAGTTTTTGGTTTTTAATCCGGGCCGAACTGTCAATTAGCTTATAGGCGAGAGAAGGCAGATGTGTGACCAGCCTTGCTTTCTTCAATTTTATTAGCCGGGACTATCTATAACTATAAAGGCCCCATTCCGTTTAACGAAGTAGCGGGTTGTTGTGATTGATGTTCATGGTGTCTAATGTCCGCTTCCACCGAGGGTAATATCGCAAACAAGTCTTATTCTATTGCACTTAGCGCATGCACATGCGTCTTGCCGGTGGAAGGAAATCCGTATACCCGGAATGAGACCAAGGGGTTGAGAAGGCGCCCCTATCTCATTACGCTTGACGCGCGACACTCAAGGCCATCCCAGCCCGCTAGAGATATCAGCATATGCATTTTTTCAAGCTATGATTGAACAAGACTGATATTATCTCTACCCGATTGGTTTATTCAGACAATGTAGGTGGGCCAAATGGCTGTTTCTGTAATGTAATCATATGTCTGCATCTCGTTGGGCATTGCTTGAAATTAGACCACGTGTATCATCTATCAATGCAATCTATTTTGGGCAATACGGTTGTTCGTGTTAACCTGGCATTTTAGGTTTTCTCTACTGTCATTACGTGTCTGCTGTAACTCGTTGGGCATTTAATGGAAGAATAACGACTGGGTAACACTTTACTTGTTAGGCACCACTCATGTAGAGTGGAAACTAGGCTTCAAAAGACACTAGGCTCTTTCTGCCCACGTAAGCATGCGAACCCGAAACGATCAGTGAACATACCACTGCAGTCCCTTTATAAAATTCTATTGTTATTTTAAAGGAAGACGTCAACGTAATAGGTGTTGATTGGCAGAAAGGCGCTGCCCATGTCAACTATTTTAAAGCCGTGGCTAATACAAGAGTAGTTGGTGCTGTAGCTGCTCAACTTATCAAAGATTTGAGGTCAGTTGGCGGAATCAGTTACTCCAATGTCCACGTCATTGGTCACAGTCTGGGTTCTCATATTGCTGGATACATTGGAGAAATTATTCCAGGGTTGGGAAGAATAACTGGTTTAGATCCTGCTGGTTTGTCTTTTGAAAACTATGATGTCAAAGTCAGACTTGACCCTTCTGATGCTACTTATGTGGATGTAATACACTCAGATGCTGGAACTCTTTTTACATTGGGTATATTTTCAACTTGTTCTTAATCTTTATTAATATGGTATACAAAATTTTTCATTTGTATTACGTGGTTCCATGTATCCAAATTCATGTATCATGTATCAGTTTTAAAATATTTTGATTTTATTTTATTAAAAAAAAATCGATTGACGATTTAAAATATGTTGAACGTTCAAAATGGATTGCCATTTTTAACCAAAAAGCCCAAAGGACTATCTTTACATTCTCTATGGATTGGGTGGTGCTCATTCAGATTGGTTCGAATAAACATTTTTGGACAGTTCCACGTGTTCTTCTAAAATAGAAGTGGAGAGTGTGCCTTTTGTGGTTATCTTACAAATAGGGTTAGTGCCATAGGGATATAACAGATGCACGTGGGAAGGACAAACACCAATGTTTTCTCTTGATCGATATCCGCCGAAGAGCGATTATGAAGCACTACGCGTCAGCGGTTAGATGTCGAAAGCCCACATTCCAAAACATCCCCACAGCATGCTCTGCTAGACATTTTATTAGTATTGTCTCTGGTTGTATTTGTATTTTTTTTACTTAGATTCCACTTTAAACGTTGTGAATTTATTCTCAGTTTATGGTTATAGGAATAACAATACCACAGTTCGTTTCTACATGGTTATGTCAAGCAGTGGATACATAGGTTACAAGCATAGACCCCAATAAAGTCATTCTCTCAATGCCACCCCCATCCAAACTTGCAAGAGCGATTGTGCTGATAGAACATGCTACATCTTCCCCTCTAAGAATCTACATTGTGTCTGTTCTAACGCTCAGACCTCTGGTGGTTTTCTACACTTGGGTTTCGAATTTCAATTATCTAATTAATCAAATATGACGTAATTAATTATAATGATTGGCACTCATGTTTAATGACGCGAGTACTCTTCGCAATATTTCAAAACCAATTTAATTTGCGTTTTCAAATAAACTCATATCCAGGTTAATATTTTGACAATGGAGAAGACAGATAAAACTTAGGTATTTATCAAATTATAAATCATTTCCTCTGGGGCACATATTACTTATATTTGCCTAGTGCAATTTCGCATGAATTACCAAATAGGATTACATTGCAGCGACCTGGGCTCTTTTAATATATCTCATTAACATTGTAATTTGTTTACCCTTTAAGCATTTGGTTTAGCTAAAGCAATTGGTGACACAGATTTTTATCCAAACGGTGGAAGAAATCAACCAGGATGTCCCCACGTTGGTAACCATGCTCTCGATCTCATCACCGGACAAATTGATAGTAAGTGGTTAGGATTTTTTACATTCAAAAATATAGTTTCGCTAATACTGCTAGAAGTAGTATTAGCGAAACTATAGAAGACCAAACGATAACCCCGTGGACAAACCACACCATACAAAAAAAACTCATTGGCAATAAAATTAGCAGTACTATCTGATCAAATAAGTGAGGGCGGTCGTAATCATCCACTGCGTTGAACGTAATGTTCCGGGCCTACGGTTATACAAGATTCACTTAAATTTAAAACACGAATCCTCTTTTCAATGTCAACCGTGGTTGAACACGAATTTTCTGATGATTGTGACTACATCATGAGATTATTGTATGCACAAATATAGTTTATCCAATTACTTGTTGTACCAGGCATTTCCATCGTTCTCCTCCAGTGACTCGAATCAAGGGAGATAAACAAAATATGATCAGTTCAACATTTAATCAATATAGAGTATTTGCATCCAGCCATATTCAATTATGGGAAAAGAGCTACAGAATTAAGTCTCTCTGGTGTAGGTCAAAATACATTGTTGAATTCGGTTGTTCTTACGTGTTATTTCTATCAGTGACGAAATGGCAAGTATAAGATCACTCGCTTTGTATACTTAACCATAGGTGTAATAATATGCATATTTTATTCTCAGAATAACCATATTTCCATTTTTTCAGCTATAACGAGCAAGGTTGGGTGTAATCATCACAGAGCCATTGATTATTTTACGGAGTCTATCAATGGTGGGTGTGTCTTTACATCCCATCCCTGTAGCTCTGAGAGTCAATATAATAGTGGCCATTGTAAAAGTTGTGGTCATGGTTGCGCTGTAATGGGATACCACACACAACCACATCATTACCATGGTAGTTTCTATCTGAATACAAAGAGTCACCATCCATTCTGTGTAAGTTATAAATGAAATGAAATAAAATGGGGTTTAACGTCCTACTGTTCTGCTCCTATACTGGGCTAATGAAGACGGGCATATGCCATACAGTGTGCTATGAGGGAAATTTTGCCCGGGCAGCGGCACTATCGCCTACTCTTTATCGAATTCCAACTGCCAAGGGATCTTTTACGTGCATTCCAATGTATACACGGGACCTCAGTTTTTCGTCTCATCCGAAGGACTAGACAGCTGTCCTTGTCAGGCCCTCCGTCCTGCATCACTGACAAGGGGGAACCACGCCGGAAAATCTGGATGAACTTTCTCGGCCAATGCAGGGATCGAACACCCGACCTCCAGGCTAGCGAGCCAGCGTCTTACCCACTTAGCCACGTGATCCCCCGTGTAAGTTATAAAGGTTTTAAATACAATATTTCTTATGCGCATATTATTAGAATATCAACGAATAAACTGGGAAAACAGTCAATCCAGTTGGTGATTAAGGTCGTTTCAGAAATCCCGAGAAACGGAAAGCGTACAGAGTGGCGATTTTCATATTGGATATACAGTGAATTATAGGACCAAGGGTAGCTTGGTCGTAAAGATAATTTTGGCTGTAGTCCGCTGTTTCAAACAGCCCGTCCCCCACCTAAATAACAAACTGTGATAATCAGAGCCCTTAGTATTACTTAGTTGTTGAGATTTTAGCCTGACTATCAAACTTTTATATATTTTCAGACCCAATCTAGGAGGTCCTTACGCAGAGGAATAGAAAATTTCTTTAAACAATAAATGAAGTACAAGTGAAATATTTCTCATTTAATGTTTAACAATAATCACTACAATAACAATAAATATCAATATAGTTCCGAACAGCAAAGGGTTTCGCCACTCTCCAATTGTATTCCAGTTTGTAAGGTTTGATTTCCCCATCCAGTGTCAAAGAGCAAACGCAGATATCCGTACTTCTTTTGATTGCGTGAGTGGAAGCGTGGCCGCCCCCTTGTCTTGGAAGTATGTATTGTTAACCGGTGGAGAGGGACATTTCCATTAAAACTCATTACTTGAACTATGTACCCATACAGCTATTTGGTCCAGGGTTACCCCTTAACCAGGTCAATATTTGTTGTAGACGAGGCGGGGACAATTTGTTCTTTGTTCGTCCAGCCAGGCTACGTATAAGAACCGACAAGACTATTTTTTTTTTCAATAACGCCCAAAGTATTGCAAAATGTGACCGAGAATCAAAGATGTGCTATTGATATGCATATTTTACACACCATATCCTAAATATAAATGATTTCATAAAAAAAAATGAATTACATTGTATATGGATAACTGAACTTTGAAAAAGTGGGTTAAGGGTCCATAAATGTCTCAACAAATCATCTTTTTTCAACACTGAACATGATACAAACACAGACAAGGACTAAGATACGAAATATACATGAAACATTACTAGATAGATCTGTGACTACTTTAGGATAAATATTAAAGAAACATTATTGTTATTCATTTATAAAACCAACCACCCCCAACCTTTCCATGGAGTTAAAAATGTTATATTATGGTCCCTGCAAGCTTATAAATAGTGAATCTTAAAAATCTCCACATTTGAGAACTTTATTCTTAAGGTTTCTTTACTGTGGTATTATTGCACCTTGTTGCGGCCATTTTTTAATCAAGTCGAAGGAGAGAGTTTTCAAAAGCAAGAAGTCGATGATGACGAATTTGCAAAAAGGTCGCAGCAGGTTTCCATAGGTTACAGTAAGTGCCATTGAGGTGACGACCACTGTCAAGATTGGTCGCATTATTTCTGTTACGTCTTTTTTTGTATTCCTGATTGTTTACAAATTTGAGTGAAGTCTGTGTCACTACAGGCCCGGGACTGTACAGCGCAGTGGACGCTTAGGACTGGCCCCCGGATCCATTCACTTGATTTGATATTTGTTTATTTGGTGCAATGTCTGTTTTCTGTCTTGTCCGCCGGTTTATCTTGTAGATTTTTGTATTACGTGTAGTGCGGTCCTCCTGCATAGAGATAAACAATGGACATTATGTGTAGCTTAATGGTCAAGTGCGAGATTGCACGAGTGCGTTCAGCAAGGGGTCTATAGCTATATATTTCGCAATATCTTGCACGAGACCATTAAACAACTTAAATTACCGACACTATCCAGCACGTGCATATCAATGAAATACGTCACGCGGGTCCAATATTTCAACTAGTATAAATAATGTAAGCTTGGCATATTGCCCATACCATTATTTAAAATAATGCTACACCAACATCAAAGGATGACGTCACATCTGTATTTTAATGAAGTAGAATGCATGTACGTGAGCTTAAACTGTTTGAATTGCTAAACTAATATCCATATTCAACAATTAGTATGATTAAAAGCTGATTTATGACGTCACATTATTCTACCTAGCATACATTTATTTCCCCTTTAAATGGGGATATCTCAAAATAGAAACGGCTTGCATTGAATCAGTCCATCTACGTTAAAGCTTTAATTATCAATATTGATTTTGTTTCAGTTTTGTATGAAATCATTTAAATTATGTAGGAATAAAACTAGGGAGTTCCTAAAGGTATGCATTTTATCAGGACGTAAGGTCTATGATTCTATTATCGGATGAAGGTGGGGAGGGGGTTTTGCAAGGTGGTTTTATTTAGCTACTAGAATAATATTCGGAATATTGTAAACCATGTAGTTATCATCTCAAGAATATTGGATCAATACGCCATCTGATCACTGAAGATGCTGCGTCAACATTGGTTCGTTGTTTGGTCATTTCCCGACTTGATTACTGCAACAGTATTTTAATTGGCATAACACATGAACAATCACAACTTTTACAAAGAATACAAAACAAAGCCGCCAGAATAATCTGTAAAACGAACCCACGTGAACACATATCTCCTGTATTGACTGCTTTACATTGGCTTCGGGAAAATGAGCGGAATGAATTCAAATTGCTGTGTCTGACATACCAATCAGTGAATGGAACTGCACCTGCATACCTACAAGAGCTTTACCATCACCATTCCTCGTCTAGAAACCTTCGATCAAATGATAAACCTCTTCTAACGATTCCTAATTACAACTTGAAATCTTTTGGTGCGCGGTTTTTTAAATACACTGCTGCAGTATACAGGAACAATCTTCCTATCCACCTCAAAAAATGTCCATCCTTATCGACATTCAAAACCTCATTGAAGACATATTTATTTAAACGTTATGTTTTGTGGTGCCTTGGTATTGAACTTTTATTGTACAGAACTGAATCACAAGCGCTATGGGCATACTCTGTGGGGACTAGCGCTATATAAATGACATTATTATTATTATTAATAATATATACTTGAGTACGTATTTGGGGACATATGTCTATATATTTATATCTACATACCAATATTTAGATTAATAAGATGGATATTGGCATAGTAACATTAGTGATCTATTTCCTGACATTCACCATAAACAACAAATACATTGTGCTTGATAACGATAAGAGTATACTTGTCGAAACATCGTACTTCTAGAATAAAACCAGTGATATTCCCCATAAACATTGTGTTCTGTTAAAAAGATGGATATTGACACAGTAAAATTAGTGGTCTATTTCCTTACATCTTACTTCCTGTGGTATTGTTTGTATTAATAGAGAAAATTTAGTAAAGGATGTATTTATGGGCATATTAAAATTAAGTTTTATCAGTTTTAAACATAGTCACGTGATCTAGTTTGTTGACTATAAGAGATAAGGTTGGTACCGATAGCGTTCAATTCAACATTTATACCAGTTGAATTAACAAGAATGGCCACTTTCAGTATTTTGGGTTGCCTCCTGCTAGCCTTAAGTACACAAGGTAAGGACGGTTAATTGACCATTTAGATTGATAATTTTGAAACTAAGGTAAGGTAATCTTATTTGACCTGATGTTGTTACGTTTGGAATGAGAGGGAGTGGGCGTTATACCACAAGACGTTATACGATCTCACTGAGAATTAAGTTTTCTGGTTGCTCGATAACCGTGATTCTCAGGCCAGTTTAGTGTAGGTACTAGAAAATATGTCGATAATTGAAGAGATGGCCCAGATAAATATAATTATATCTCATAGTAATGACCATATACTCTTTTATCTGATTGTCATTTAGGTCTTTTATTCAAGTCCAAAGTGTGTTACCATGAGCTGGGGTGCTTCATGAATGCAGAACCATTCAACAACGCACTGGATGAACTTCCCGATTCCCCAAAAGCTGTCAACGCCACTTTAAACCTGTTCACCAGGAAGAACCCCATCACTAGTCAGTTATTACGTTACCAGGATAAAACTACGATAAGCAACTCTAATTACAACCCACGCATGCCAACCAAGATTCTTGTACACGGCTTTCTTAGCAATGGACACCAAGAGTACATGATTCAGCTGACCAAAAGCTTTTTGGAAATAGTACGTCTAACAATAATTTTACAATGATATTGGGTTATAGTAAATACTTTTACAAAAATCTGAGATAACATCGGAGAAGGAATTACACAACCCAAATCTTGAAACATAACTTTCACAATTTCTTAAAATATAGATTTATCCAATAACCTTTGAAAGCTTGGGAGCACGCCAGAGTTGGAATTAAAATTACACAACCAAAATCTTGAAACATAACATTCAAAATATAGATTAATCCAATAACCTTTGAAAGCTAGGGAGCAAGCCAGAGTTGGAATTGAAATTATATAATCAAAATCTTGAAATGTAAAATTACTAATTCTGAAAATATATTTTCATATTTTCAAAATTGAGAGTGGAGGGGGGGGGGGATTACCCTGATAAATAATTTATTGCAGGATGATATGAATATTATTGTTGTCGACTGGAGTGACGGTGCTCACAAATTTTACCCGAAAGCGGTTGCCAATACTCGATTAGTAGGAGCCATTGTGGCAACGTTTGTCAACCTAGTTAAAGACAGCTATCAGGCGAACCCAGCTTCTTTCCATGTCATAGGACATAGTCTTGGTGCTCATGTCGCCGGATACATTGGCAGTGGAGTTAAAAATATAGGCAGAATAACAGGTAGTTTAAACCTTCTTGATATTTTCCAGTCTTTAGAATGGTGAACTGGGGAAACTGTTCGGCCAACACCGTGCGTTTAATGAACCAGCGCCATACGCATTGAACTACTGTGATACCCAAGGATAATCCAAGTACCGTAAAAGTGTAATTTAATAAGGGTAGATAAAATATAAAAAAAACTACCAAATTCAGATTGCTGACTGACATACGTTTCCTGAAAGCAATATCATAGTTAGCCTGTGTCCCTCTGAGTAGTCTAATCATTTTTTTTAGAACGCCTACTAATTGTGATTCTGAACACAAACATGAGACTTTTCAGCGAAATAATATGCGGATGAACCTCAAAATGAAATGAAATGAGGTTTAACGTTCTAATTTCCTACACCGATTGGGTTAATAAAGACGCGCTTTCCATTAAGAAGTATCAATATATTTTTTTAGGATTAGACCCAGCTGGACCATTATTTGATGGAACTGATAATGAGGTTCATCTGGACGCTACTGATGCTACATTTGTTGACTGTATTCATTCAGATGGTCTACCATTGTATGATTTAGGTGAGTATAAAACAGCATGACGTTATAATATTACAAATTTGTCAGTGTTATCAGAAAACCTATGTTGGACTGTACTTTAAGATAAAATAAACTTGGGTCAATATCCTAAATTTCGTCATGTCACGGGGAAAAGATAACATAATCAAACTATATTTATTTTAGTAAATTATAATTATATAAGTTTAAAATACAGCTGGTTAAATGTCGTAAAACTTGAACATAATGTTTGTCAGTCTGAATTCCAATGTACTTACATAATTATCCTAGTATGTGCAAATTTAGAGATCGATTAGTCACGCAAAATCATTTTTAATCACCTTAAATGTATAAACATTCAACCAGTTAACTAGTTAGACAATACGAACTTTGAGAGCTTTCAATGAGATAGAGTCAATATATTTCTTCCCAGTCAGTTCGCCACTATTTTTTTTATCGACTTTAGGTCTAGGAACATCGGAAGCATGGGGAAATATAGATTTTTACCCAAATGGAGGTGGTAACCAACCAGGCTGTCCATTGCCCGCTGAAGGAGCCGCCAAGGATATTTTTGCGTTGCACTTTTCCGGTAAGCTCTAGTCTTAATACTGCTTAGAGATTCGAACACAAATGGTATGGGAGATCAAAATCAATTTCAACCTACTGATCGAGATACGCATAGTATCGTGTTATATATCATTCACGCGTGGATTTTAAAAATCAATCTCACCAATCTGTGATTAGTGGAAACGTAGGTTGTCAGGCAACGAAGCATAAACCCTTCGGCAGCTAAATCATCAATCAGTTATGAACTCACCAACTCCTACAAATTATAAAAAAAAAATCAGATTTCAATGACAGCCGCCAATATTTCTCAACAAAGGGAGATAACTTTGGAGTTATTATCGAAAATCAACATAATTTCAGAATGATTGGTTAATAATTGAAGCATATAGAGTTCTAACAAGATTTAGTAACAAAGGAGCATAACTCTGGGGGTGATTATTGAAAAGAATGCGTTTCTTCCTGACAATGAGTTAGCCCAACTATCATATTGTATTAGGAAGGAATGTGAAAGACAGACGTAGACTTCACATTAAACAGACATATACCTATCGACGTTATCATTAACAAATCGATAATAATCAATAGGGTTCTTCTTGTCAAGAAGATGGACAACCAATATTATATTAAAAACGATCGAATAATAACTAAAATCTCTAGGGTGGTGGCAAGACTTCGTAAATAGGAATATCTTTAAAAATGAATAAGCCCTTCCTTGCAATGGGATAGACAACAAATATACATTTTAGAATAATCGAATTATAATTAAAACATCTGAGGACAACACTGCTGTGTTACAAAGGGGAATAATTCTAGCAGTTATTATCGAAAATCGTTGAAAGTCAACATGCTACTTTATGCCAATGAAATCGACAACTCCTATCAATTTCAAAATGGTACATGGGTTATTGTAGATTGGTGTGTGCTAACAATACATTTAACGACAGGACGGATAGATACTTTGTGGATAAGACTCAAACCTGTATTATACAACGTTTGGGAAGTATTCCCCCGTTTGGCTTGAGTTACTTCCGTTATGGTTAGTTTCTTTTTCATTTTGAGTGAAGTCTGTATCACTACATGACCGGGACTGTACAGCGTATTGGGTGCTTACGGCTAGCCCATCGATCCTTTCACTTGATCTGATGCGTGCGTTTGTTGCTTGTGGTGTCTGTGTATATTGTGTCCTGTCCGTAGGTTTGTCTTGTGAAATTGTTTATGTGTGGTGCAGTCCCCCTATTATGAAACCCTTATTTTGTCCTATTTCCAGAATTATCATCAGATGTATCGTGTAGCCATCACCGGTCTATTAACTACTTTATCGAGTCTCTCCAAAATACAACTTGCCAGATGGCGGGTCATCCCTGTTCTTCTTATGATGATTATGTAAAAGGAAAATGCACCAGCTGTGGTGATGGTCCATGTCCAGTTCTTGGTTATGGCTCTATTAACAGTCACCGTCAAGGAAAATTCTATCTCACAACTAATCCCCAGTCTCCATATTGTCGTAAGTATCATAAATATTGTAACCATAAGTCACTGTAACGGAGCATTCCATCTTACTACTAATACCCAATATACGGATGTAAACTGGCTATTCTACGAATATCTGTCTGGATAAATTGTCAACATTTGAGCATATATGGTTTAGTTTATCCGGTCTTTTATGTTACCATATGCGAAATAAGGGAGGCAATACGACTGAAATAACATGGCGACCCCCGTGAAATATTTTCAAGAATGAAATACCATGTCATACAAATCTACAATGCTCCTAAGTTTTTTATTGTAAAAATGTTTCTCTGTTGCTTTCTTGTCTTTAGCTAAAACGTTCTATAGCCCATAGGTGACTGGTTGATTTGGTATTTTACGTGGTGAATTATCCATTCATATATCGCCAAATATAGACAACTGGACCAGATCCTCCGTATTATATATGCCCATGTGTGAAGGCGGGTTTGGATTTTTTATGTCTAGATTATCCTGTAACATATCGCCAAATGTGAACAACTGGACCAGGCCCCCGTACGTTGAAGACAATTATGGGTGTCTGAGACTATTGTCATACTGAAGACGTACCTTGATACATATGTGAGAAATGGATTATTATGAGTGTAGTGGGTGGGGCACACAAAAGTAGGCGATAAGATAAATTATGCTAATTCGAAATCTAATTGTATTTTCATTTTTTTTTACAGAAAATATATATTAATCTGGCGACAAATAAAGAACTATTTGATACGTACACTTGTATTGAAGTTGATCCATTTTAGTTCTCCAAAGCAATGGTTACGATTATTATCATTAACCATTACTATACATGTATTTACTAAGGTACATTGGCATTTCTGATTAGATATCTTCTTGGTGGTGCGGCCCAAACTTGACTTAGAGGTTGGCTAAGCACAAAAAACAGACTTTGTCAAGGACCTAGCTTCGTGTCCCTTGCGTGTGTTGTTACAACTTGGTATTGTCAATATTTCAACTATTAAGAGTGTATCCGTGAGAAGACCATGCAAAAATCGCAAAAAGTGCTAAGATGGGGGGTCAGAAGTTTTTGATTAAACTTATGGTATGACACCCCCTAGGGGCATGAGGTAACATGCTGAAGTGGTTACAGTCTGATGTCGCTCTAAAGGACTGTACAGGAATTATTCATTTTATGGGTAAAATTGCGGTTTTCATATGTGTATTTATCACCTTTTTTTAAGCACAGACTGCATTCTATGGTGGAATAGCAACCTTCTAATTTTGACCCTGTCTGATAAAGCGGGTGGTCAACTTCTACCCCAGCACTAATTTGAAAAAAAAAATCAGTACATACTAATTTTGTGTGGACTTGTTTTAGGGTACCATATTCACATTGTCCTTATAGTGCAGAAAAAGATACACTGTAACTTTTTCTTTCATGGTCGCAAGTAAAATTTCTTTGGATGGTTTTGAAGTGCTAAGCACATAGTATCCATAGGTGTAAAAAAAATGACCGGAATGCAACATACTTAAAATATACAGCTTATTGAAAAGTGCTAAAAAAAAGCTTTTGTGATACATTTTTTTTGCGAATTTAATTAGAGAAATTTTTTGACTTTTATACGTTTTCATCATATCCATAGCCATTATTTGTACCATGTTGTACTCTATATAAGTGTGTATTTGTATTTATTGTATATTTGGTATTGTCGTATTGTCCCTTTAACATATTTGTTGTATTGTCTCTTTAAGATTTCATTTTCAAACAAGTTACCGAAAATAGCTACAAAATGTTTAATTTCAGAGCATGATTCCACTATTCATTTTGGGACACATCCACTGATTTCTACAATACAGAAATGTGGAAGCTTAAATATTAACGGCAACGAAGCCTAATTGCGTCGAAGTGGGTGACATTGAACAGTGTAGTATGGTAGCTACAGCTCTCGGGCACTGTCAGTTGCACCTTCAGGGCCGGATTTAGAATAAGAGAGGCCCTAGGCAAACCCCCTGAACAGGGCCCACGACATGGACCTTGGGGCCCTGGGACAAGCAACTCGGTGAGAAGGTGGGTCGTGGGAAGTCAGCGGTTGGTGGTTCGAATCTCACTTTTAGGTGAATTTTTCATTTTCGTTGGATTATTTTATTTAAAATAATGTCTATTTGAGAGTAATGGATATGTTTGTTAAGATTGAGCACTTCGAAACTCCAATGGAAGGTCGTGAACAACTGCAGAAGTCAATTCCCGTTGACGCCAGATGAGCCATGAACGATTACAGGCCTTTGAAAGTATTTTTTTTTTCAAGATATTTTTATAAAACAGATACTAATGTATTTTAGGGCTGGTAGTAAACACCATATGAATGAAAAGGAAAATAAATTGTTAGTTTGTTTTATCTACTACGGTTAATTATCTCCAAAATAGGGAAATTACAGGTTAATTTCATGGGTTATTGTTTCCTTTACCTCGTTTTTGTCAAGTCGATTCCGGTCATTTTTATATTTTGTATCAAATGTTGGGAGGTTGCTTGTTCACGTGAGCATAAATTTTTTAAACCCACCCCATGAAAGAAGTAGCTATAGGGCGTCAAACTTTGGGTGACGAAAAATGGGGAATTTAGACAGGCTTTGATATCCAGTCCGTATACAGATCTCGTTCGCCCGAATCGTCTGAAGTTTATATTGTGGTAACAGCACTGAGTCATCGATAAACTGTGCGAGTTTGGTCTTTCTGCTACGTATAGTAAAGGTGTAAGGACTTGCCAAAGTTGGTATTTCAGAAAAGACAGATTTTGGCAATTTCACCATATGAAAAATGTTTTTTCAATTTTCTCATACAGTAATTGAAAGATTTATCTAATATTGCACATTTATGTGTTTTGGGACTATCCCAACTTATAAACCAAATTTGGTCAAAATCTGTGATTGAAGCCTTAGCACCTTCTGCATGGTTTTCTCGCGGACTCGCTCTTAATTCCTCTGCGATTGTTGTATGGATTGAGATGAACTATGAATTTCCTGAACGCTCAAAGGGATGTTACAGATAGAGAATCCAACGAGTTGTTTATGCTTTGAAGAGTCATAAAGACCTTTATCCCAGTCCTGTATAATTATCTAATACTTTTTCGTAGAGATAACAAAGTTGACTGTCTATATATGGTTGGCGATAAGTCACGGAAGTCTACTATAACCACGTTTAATACAAATGCAAAGTAAAACATCAGAGGATAAGTCGAAAATTTGAATTAGTCTGAAAATTAAATAAGTAGATCGTTGAAGAGAACAACCAATAATTGTTATCAAATAAATTACTTACTAGATCTGGGCGTATTAAGTCAAAATCAAAAATTGCGTTTTGGGATAAACATATGTTTTTCATTGCGGCAATCGGACAATAATTTGAAAAGATCGAGATCCTTAAGGGGTGTTGTGCAGCTATCTAAAAGGGGGCGGTTCGATATCATTTTCACTTATGCTACAGATTTGATAATTTAAGACAGAAATCCCCTAAGCTACATATAACAGTGCTTAACATTGCGCAAATTTTTCCATAAAATCAAAACAGGTTTAGTGACCTAAACAATATCTTTACAGGTTCTGAATCAATCTGATTTTGAACCTCGTCGCTGACAGCATATTTCACGCCCGGGGTGGGGCTATCCCAAAACGGGTTTCCTGGGGGGGGGGGGGGTGTACACATATTTAAACATATCAATATACGTTTCTCCTTTAAGATAAATCAACATGTTGCTTCAGTAGTACAACACCTATCTATTTAATCCATCTGAGGGGACCTGCCAGAACCTAGCTGCCTCCTCCCCATCAAACATCTCAAAACAAAAAAAAACCCAACAAACCCAAAGTACAAAATCTGTTTAACTTCTAATTATTATCAACACTACAATTAATACTTCAAAATCATTACATTCTGTCTAAGTAACACAGAAAATGGTGAGGAAAGGTTTGTCTCTTTTTTGTACATGTGTATGCGAGATAATGTTTTGGAAGACAGCAGAAAAAACGCTACTAAAGTTTACACAGGCATCCACAGCCACATTTGCAGTCAGGACTGGAACATTTCGTACCACAATCGCATTTACCTGTAGTAAGAAAATGACAGTTATTTGTTTGCATTGTTTAACGCTGCTGGTCGCCATTGCCCGCTGCAAAGTACAATAATGTGAAAATTGAACGTTCCGAATATGGTGAATTAAAATTTTCACAATATTCGCCATCCTATCCGGACACTAAAAACAATTTAGCACCACCTATGCGTGGTGGGTAAAATCTTTTGGTGGGCCCCGTTTTGAATCCAATGTTAAATAATCACTTTTAGGACTGACTTGCATCATGGCGTATGACGGTCTTCATTAGCCCAGTTGGTGCGTTAAACCCCATTTCATTCATTGACTTGCTTGCTATTGCTCTAGAGCAAGACATTGGTACATGTAGCTTATTTGTGATAGAAAACCTACTGACCAACGTAATTTTGAGAAACGATTCCAGATGAACCAATTTACTAGCATTGCCATTAAAGTCAATGTGAATTTTTACGGTGGTCTGTACCCTTAAGTCATAACAATTTATAGTTACCTCCCTTCCATCTATAAAATTCATTTTTACTCACCGGAACATTTACGTAACGTTATCCCTTTTGTAGATTCTACGTTGTTTTTAGAACTACAACAGTTAGCCGATTTATCTTTAGACTCTGTCTTGCAACATTCATTGTTCCCCGCTGCACAATCTACATAAAATACAACAATACAGAGGCGGATTTAGCGAATATCTACAAACATAATGTTTATGTTCATCGATAATCCGAGATTCTACATATTCCGGCCAATGTCCCCGAAGGCTATGCCCCTTGGCCTAGTCAATGAATGTTTATTTCGGTGGCCCCACTTCCCCTCCACTCAATTTCGAAAAAGGTGGATCTGTCCCTGGCCTAATAAATTTACTTTCACAACCTTTATATCACACTCTAATACAAAATATAATCGTTAGCTATGGGAACTCCTCAAATGGGGTCGTGTTAACAGTCGTTCTAGAAAGAGTACGCATTCTGTCTTATGCATGGCACCTATAACTATAATTATGTAGGAATATTTGGGATTTGGGTTTCAGAAACCAAATTGGCTGGATTTAATGTAATATCGAAGACATTATACATTAAAATATACAGATATAGCTCACACAATGTTAACAGAGAGAGAGAGAAATGGGGTTTAACGTCCACTCGACACAAACCAGGTCATTTCGGGACTAACATATGGTACAATTTTATTTCAATAATTCGCTTGCGCGTTGGGGTCTTTAGCAGTGGAAAGAAACCGGAGGACCCGGAGAAAACCCACGAGGTTGGAACAATGTTAACAAGTACAAATATAGGTATCTTGAACACAATAAATGCATATATACTAATGTCCAAAAGAAAGTATACACTGTGCATTTTGTGCTGCATCAACCAAAGTCGTTTTTCCATGGTATACGGTATTTGGGTAGAATGTCAATTTGTTTCACATTTTTATTTTGCTTAGAAATGTTGAGTTTGGACGCAAGAGACAAACTCAGTAATGCCTTATCAAATGTTTTTAATCTAAACAAAACTTAGTCTTACTTTAAGTGTGTATACTTTCTTTTGGACATCAGTATATATTAAAAAGTACAGTGACAAAAAATAACTTGTTTGGTTTAATAAAAGAATAACTTGTTTGGTTTAATAAAAGATAACTCTGAGGCCCAGTAAGATAATTATTTCAAGTGTTTTACAGTAAATACTTGGTCTTTTATCTTGAATACATTGATTAGATGTAAGACTTGATATTTTAATCAACAGTGAGTTGTTTTAATAAAATGTGTATAATTCGAGCCCAGTTCATACTTGTCACAGTTGGCGCTGCCGGGATGATAAGGTAAGCTATTGTGTCTAGTTGTTAGGATGGGAAAAAACTGATGTCCACTAGTGTACACATTGGTGTGCACGTACTTTCTGACATTATGATACAACGACCACGCGCTATCCATTCGCCCATCTAACTGCCCAAAGGCTATTGGAATTCGAAACACCTCCGACTAGTCGAGTTGCAGCCCAAAAATTCTCCACGCATTGCATATGAAATGAAATGAAAAGGGGTTTAACGTCCTACTGTTCTGCTCCTAAACTGGGCTAATGAAGACGGGCATACGCCATATAGTGTGCTATGCGGGAAATTTTGCCCGGGCAGCGTTGCTATGGCCTACTCTTATATCGAATTCCAACTGCCACCTCGGATTTTCGTCCCATCCGAACGACTAGACAGCTGTCCTTGAACTTTCTCGGCCAATGCAGGGATCGAACACCCGACCTCCGGGATAGCGAGCCAGCGTCTTACCCACATAGCCACGTGATCCTCCCATTGCATATGTAACCGTACAAAGTAAACAAAATTGATTTATCAAAACAGACTTCTACCTTTATAGGTTAGCTTTGTTATCAGTGTTAGACTCGACATGATAGATATATCCATTACACAGTACAAATTTTCTCTTTCGACACTGTACATGTCACGTAAACATTGCTGCATAAAACTACATAATAATTCACCAAACCAAGATAGTTAGTTAAAACTTACATGATGTTTCTTGAGACGACATTGTTAGCTCGATATACAGATATTGATATATAATACTGGTAGACGTATACTGTCCTCTTTTTACTTTATGATAGGTAACCAACTAAACTCGACCTCGTATCATATCTATACGTGAATGAAATCATGTATCAATCATGACACGATTTACGTAAACTACACTGTAAATCGCGCGGACGCCTGACGCGTTCATTTTTATAAATCGGGTTCCGTTTACCAGGCTAATGAAGACGAAATTAAATGTGGTTTAACGTCTTACTGGTCTGCCGCGACTGAGAGAGAGAGAGATGGGGTTTAACGTCCACTCGACACAAACTAGGTCATTTCGGGACTGACGTATGGGTTAATTTTATTTCAATAATTCGCTTGCGCGAAGGGGTCTTTAGCAGTGGGAGGAAACCGGGGGACCCGGAGAAAACCCACGAGGTTGGACCTGCAGCGATTGAGCTAATGAAGACGGGAAAATGTGTCTCCTTTCAAATCTGAACCCTGGAGCGACTGCCTCTAGGAGAGCGGTTAAATAAGCCACGCCTCTTCTCCAATCCCATTTATTTATGAAAAGCGAGCCAACGTCTAACTCACTGAGCCACCGTTGCTTCCCCTGCATATATGGTACTTGCTTGTACACTGTGTTGTTTTTGCTCGTTATATACAGTGAGGGTAACGATAGCCACGCGATCAAGACACTGGGCTCGTTACAAGAATTTCCCAGGTTCAAATCCAGGGTTGGGCTATGAAGAACCATCGGTGTATGTCAAGCTGTCGGGACGACAACGAAAGTATGCCTTGGCCTTCTCTTGTATAAATTCCCATGCATGTAAAGGGTCTCTCGACAGTTTGAACCCGATGAAAAGTAAGCCGAATGCCTTGTCCAGACAAAATGTAGAAAATAAATATTACACGTTTGTCTCAAAATGACGGAAGTATGTCCCATTCTATTCTAAGCATAACACAGTCGCGCACTGTTAAATCATATTTAAAACTCAATTAACAAGTTGCTGTTAAAGAGATTAGGAAATTGATGAAATTGAGATTTTCCTTTGAATGATAACACACAAGTGTAGAATTGAACTTTTGACCTTTGTATCCAAGGGTCACCACCTTGTATTAGCTGTTGGAAAATAATATATTCACCCTTACCGTGGTGTAGCCACTAGCCAGCCTCAAGTAGTGAATATTGTTTTGCCAAGCATGAGAGTCGGAAAGGTGTTTTGGATTTGGGTGTTGCTCATGGTTAGTAACAATGTGGGAGGGATAGCGCTCGCTCACTAACTAGGAGGTCTGGGTTCGATTCGGGGGGTGGGGGCTGAATGGTTAGCACGTGCGCGCTGTATTATAAAGTCTGTTATTGAGACCACTGGCGTGGTTTCGTTTCCCCAGTTGTACGTGACAAAGAGTAGGGTCGCCTGTCCAACCTCGTGGGTTTTCTCCGTGTCCTCCGGTTTCCTCCCACTGCTAAAGACCCCTACGCGCAAGCGAATTATGGAAATAAAATTGAACCATATGTTAGTCCCGAAATGACATAGTTTGTGTCGAGTGGACGTTAAATCCCATTTCTCTCTCTCTCTCGATTCCGGTGTTGACATAGAAAGTTCCTACGTGGTTTCAGGTTATTCTTCGTCTAATTTTTAACTGCCGAGAGGGGTCACGGTGGCAAAGTGGGTAAGGCGCTGGCTCGCTAGCCTTGAAGTCGGGTGTTCGATCCCGGCATTGGCCGAGAAAGTTCATCCAGATTTTCCGTCGTGGTTCCCCCTTGTCAGTGATGCTGGACGGAGGGCCTGACAAGGACAGCTGTCTAGTCGTTCTGGTGGGATGAAATAACCGAGGTCCTGTGTACACATTGGCGTGCACGTAAAATATTCCTTGACAGTTGGAATTCGGTATAATAGTAGGCCGTAGTGTTGCTGTCCGAGCAAAATTTCCTCATAGCACACCGTATGGCGTGTGCCCGTTTTCATTAACCCAGTTCGTAGCAGAACAGTAGGACGTTAAACCCCATTTCATTTTATTTCTTTAACTGCCGTCCCGAACGACTAGACGCTTTTCCTTGTTCGGCAATAGGCCGACACCACTAACAAAGGATATCAAGATAGGGAAATCCAGAGGAACCTTCTTGGCCAATAATGGGATGGAACCGGGGCTCCGTAGATTAGTGACACGACGCCACACCCGCTACGCCACCGTAGTTGGAGATTGGGGAGCAGTTTGTTTACAAAGCCACATATTGATATTGTAAGATGCCTCCATATCATATATAGCTGTATATACGGAACGGCACAACTATAAGAAGGAAGAGGTCAATAAAGTATTAAAATATCGTTTAAAATTGTTCAATCGATTTGCCCCCACCCCCATGAACACTTCATTTCGAATAAGGTACCAAACCCGGAGTGGATCGAACGGCAAAACCTCCCTCATGGATGACCCACATCCAACAACTCGCACCCCCACCCCACTATTTATTGTCTGGTCATGCTTCAGCTCCTAGCGTATATCAATGACATGTTGCCAGGCAACTAAACATACGCCCACAGCAGCTAAATCGTTCGTGCAGTCGACAAGGGTTGTTGCATATTTATTCCTTTGTAGATCAGATTATAAATTTTGTCGTTTGAGGGTTTACAAGATACTACAAACTGAAACAAGGGTCTCAACTCTGGAAGTAATCTACAGAAATTATTGAAATTTGACAGGCTTTTTGGTTTTACTAATTTAAATAATGCATATAAATTTCATACAGATCACATGATCACTTTTGTCATTCAAACGTTCACAAGGTTCACAATCGCCTTAACACTAGAAATTATTGACGGAAATTGCTGAAATTCAATAGACCTCTGTTTCACAAATTTAAATGATGCATATAAATTTCATACATGGATAGCTTTCATCAATCGAGCATTAACAAGGTTTAACAAGGTGAAACAAGGGCCATAACTCTAGAAGTAATTATTGTAAATTGCTGAAATTCAATAGACTTCGTGGTTTCACTAATTTAAATAATGCATATAAATTTCACAAAGATCCGATGATAACTTTCGGCGTTGGAGAGTACACAGGGTTTAATAAAGTGAAAAGAGACATAATTCTAGACGTAATAAATGGAAATTGCTGAAATTCAATAGGATTGTTCTTTTTACTAACCTAAATGGCACATATAAATTTCATACAGATCGGCAGTTAACTTTAGAGGTTAGAGCGTTCACAAAGTGCAACAAAGTAAAACAAGGGTCATAACGCTAGAAGTAATAATCGACTGTTGACTAATTTACATGACACATGTAAATTTCATACCGATCGACAGAGCGTTAGAGCATTCCCATGGTGCAACAAAGTGAAACAAGGGCCATAACTCTAGAATTAATTGACGGAAATTGCGGAAATCCAATAGGCTTCTTCGTGTCACTAATTAAAATCATACATATAAATTTCACAAAGATCGGGTGATAACTTTTGGCGTTAGAGCGTTCACAAGGTTCAATAAAGTGAAACAAGGGCCATAACTCTAGAAGTAATTATTGTAAATTGCTGAAATTCAATAGGCTTCCTCGTTTCACTAATTTAAATAATGCATATAAATTTCAGAAAGATCAGATGATAACTTTTGGCGTTAAAGCGTTCACAAGGTTCAATAAAGTGAAACAAGGACCACAACTCTAGACGTAATAAACGGAAATTGCTGAAATTCAATAGGCTTTTTTGTTTCACTAACTTAAATATTGCATATAAATTTCACAAAGATAGGAAGTTAACTTTTCGCATTAGAGCGTTTACAAGGTTCAACAAAGTGAAACAAGGGCCATAACTCTAGACGTAATACACGGAAATTATTGAAATTAAATAGGATTCTTCATCTCACTTATGTAAACAACATATATCAATTGGATGATAACTTTTGGCGTTAGAGCGTCCACAAGAAATTGTGGACGATGGACCGACGGACCGACAGGCGGGCGGACGGGGGCGACGGCAATATACGTCCACATTTCGTTGTGGGCGTATAAAAATACAAAACAATGATAAAGTAGTAATTTATTTTTTTAAATGAACAAACATCAGTTGTTAAAATGATATGCTATAAGAGATAAAGAGAGAACTTGTTTAGACTTTTATGAATAATGCATGTGAATTAGCCTAATCACTCATTGCACTAGAAAGTTTATCTTTGAACTCGTGTTCCGTACTATTTACAGGAACATCCGCTAGCACATTTGCAGCTGTCTATCCCTGTACATCCAGCACCACAATCACATTTTCCTGTAATGAAAAATAAAGAAATTATGCGCTTATACGTAATAATTATATCCACAGATATCGTATGTATAGCCTTGCACAACAGACAAGAGAGAGAGAGAGAGAGAGAGAGAGAGAGAGAGATGGTTTAACGTCAACTAGACACAGACTTGGTCATTTCGGGACTGACATATGGTTTAATTTTATTTCAATAATTCGCTTGCGCGCAGATGTCTTTAGCAGTGGGAGGAAACCGAAGTAACCGGATAAAACCCACGAGGTTGGACAGGCAATCGTGTCACGTACAACCGGGGATTCGAAACCACGCCAGTTAACTCAATGACAGGCCTCATGATACAGCACGCACGTGCTAACCATTCGCCCTTCAAACCCCCAACAACAGACAAGAATTCACAGTTAGTAGAATCAGGCCCGGGTCCAGACGAATCTTTTTAACGTCCAGATCCCGAGGTAGCGCCTAAGGAACTTACAGGGAAAGTTAGTGTGGCGTGATAAACCGAGGTCTGACCGTGTGCCCAAAGCGTTTCCTTGGTGGCAGTTGACAGTTTACCCTTATTACGTGAGTGGTTTTTAACGCCCACTTCCACAACATTTCATTACTAACATATGGTAATTCGTAATTTCAGTACTTCAATTTCGCACACGACAGTCTGAGAATTTCGTAATTACAATAGCAAATTATAATTCGTAACTCCAGCACCATTTAGCACAGGGCAGTTTGGTAGTTGAGGAAAACATTAGCACCCTGAAAAGAGCGCATAGAACTTAATCTTTGACATGGGCTCGAACCAACTACTATACCGGTACAACCATAATCTACAGCGGAACGTTTCAGTCCAGTACACACACACACACACACGACCAGCTGCCATCGTGCTAATTAAAGAAATTGTAAAGAAATTATATTCTTACCGTTACATTTACAAGTGTTTTGCGTTTTACAGCAATCTACGGCGTTACCA